GAGACAGAGGGGTGCGCGCAATTGCTCGGAGGGTTACCATATAGGGCCCCTTTTCGTCCTATTGGGTAGACCCTTTCGCGAGATATGGATATTGATGCTTTTTAGTTGTTGATTGACTGATAATTGAGAAGAGATAAGTTTAGCTTTAATAGGCCCAATTCCATCGAAGGCGATAGGGCCCGGCCCTATATATAAATTTAGAGCAACTCCAAGAGACAGTATATTTGTGTCTTGTAGTCAAACTTAGGATATTTTTAGAAGAAACGGGCTCCAACAGCTTTGTTATCCAGTGTTCCAAAATAAAAAAAATAAAAGTCAACTATCATGTACTTCTTGCTAGCCAGATAAGAGCAACTTCAAGAGCCTCTTTATATCATTTCTTATTATTGATAGAAATAGAGATTTTGATGAAGAAAAATGATATCAAACAACTTCTTTAATTAGATATTCAAATATTGTCACCTCTATTCGGATTTCTCTAGCCAAGTATAAAAAGCGAGGTTGGCCCTTAGAGTGCACATAATATATAAATAAGTCGTTAGAGAATAGAAAGATATATAAAGCTATTTTTATTTAATAGCTCTCCACGTGATGATTTAAAAATGAGTTTAAGAGAACTCTTAAAATGCTCTAAAACCGTTGCACCCGCTCACTGTTACTTCTCGCGCGGGGGAGATTTTTCCCGGCGCGCCAGTACGTACCGCGTCACCCTTGCCCCGTCTGGTCGTACTGCACTAGCTTGGCACTGCCGGCTAACCACGATCATAGCTGCCAACCGCAGGCAGATGCTGGCTGCTGCAAGCTGGCTGGTGGCAAGCTAGAGTGGAGTCGGCCGTGGCCTAATTCTAGTAGGAAGTACCCATTCAGTGGCCAACAGGCAGGGATAGCAGTCATACCCACCGGTGCAGGTATCCATAGGTTTTTATACCTGACTAGTATACAGTGTCTGTGCTAATGCTACGGCTTTATTCAGGGATATACATGGAAACAACTAAACAACGATTTTTTTTTTCAGAGTTCAACTTTCACACAATTTGTATATGACCATGTATATATAATCCAGAAAACACTTACACGTAACAAGGCATAATAAAGTTATTTCTCGCATTAACCATATAATTTACAATATGTCTAAGTCCTTAAACATGTCTTGGAGATCTTCATGGCCACTTCATGCAAACTTCATCCCAAATAATCAAAGATGCCGTACCAAGCTTCTTAAAGTAGATATAGCTTCTTAAAGTAACTCTATAATTCACTTTTGATAAATGAAAGAAAAAAATGTATTTGATCTTTTTTAAAATTAAATAGTAGATATAGTCGTAAATATATGTGCACAACCGCGATGGATATTTATCTGGTTGTAACAGTGTCCAGATATTTGAGAATCTAAACGACTTTACATAAGAAACTTTTCAACTCCAAAGTTACAGAACAACTTTCCTATAGACCATGTCAACATCTAATGTTGTTTAGAAAAAAAATAATTTTAATTTCAAAATTCATGAATTTAAAGCAATATTTTGGGACTCTAAACAATTAAAATAAAAAAAACTTCTCAACTATAAAGTTGTAGATCTTATCGAGAGCTACTATGTTAATATAAAGTTTATCTTTATCCAAATTTATATAGAAAAGTTATGAATTATTTTTTGTGACACTATTTTGAGAGATGGGTAGCTTGAGGCGTCAGTATTTAAAAATCGATTGTTAGAGACGGATAGAATGTCAGTCTCTATTAATATCTATTTTCACAAACATAACATCTTAAGATGATCGCCTTAGAACCTCTATCTTTATAAGTAATTCTCAGATGCGGGTATTTACCTAGCTAGAGGCTGCCTGGCTATTTATGGAGACGCTGCCTCCTAAAATGATTTTTGTGGCAGGGAACTTCTCTAACTTTAACCATGTATTTTTTTTTTGAAAAAGTATATTAACATCTACAAGTTGAAACAGATACATCATCATGACATATTTTCGTGGACAATTTAATGAAATTATTTTATCTTGTAAATGTTAGTGTGTTTTTGTATGAACATGAATAAAGTTTGAGCAATTTAACTTAGCATAAAGGTAAACTGTGTTATAATTCGAAACGGAGGAAGTAATACATAGAGGTACGTAATCTCCAGACTCTAGCAAGTGCATGGAAAACTGAAGAAACATATTTATCGGAAACTGATCGAAATTGTGCAAGTGAGTTTCCACATTCGCACGAAAATCTCACTCATTCTGGAACATATTCATTAGAGACTCAGCAAGACCTGCCACAGCGGTGGCTCCCTCAATGGCTTGAGCAAGACCTTCCACAGATTTGTCGCCCAACGACGACTCCTTTTCATTGCTGCTGCTGCTGGTGGTGGTGGCGGCGGTGATGGTGGTGGTGGTGGAGGGCCTGGCGCCGTGCAGGCACTTGATGTGAATGTCAAAGTTGCACAGCCCGCAGCGGTAGACCCAAACGAAACAGAGCTCGCGACATGCCGCGCATGTTCCCACGTCGGGCAAGGCGGTCAAGCTGTGATACGGGTGCAGCATGCTGCTCGCGGTCTGCGGCAGGCGCGAGCACCGCGGGTGCATGCCGAACCCGCACGGCGCGCAGTGGTACAGGAAGACGCCGACGGGGACTTCCTTGCGGCACAGGTCGCAGACGCGCCGGCCGTCGTCGTCGGTGCGGGCGAGGGTGAGGTCGTGCCACAGGTGCGCGAAGAAGGAGCTCAGGGTCTCCGGGTACTTGGCGCACTCCTCGTGCAGGTCGAAATCGCAGAGGCGGTGGTGGCAGCTATAGTCGCTGCCGGTGAGCTTCTCCCCGCACAGGTCACAGAAGCGCGGCTGGTGGTACTTCGTCCTCAGCTTGAGCTCGTGTTGGGGATGGGAGAAGTGGGCTACCGGCATGGCCACGGTGTGGATTCGTTCGGATTCTCGAGCTGTTATTCGCAAAAGAGTTTTGGAAGGGGCGCGTCAGATGGGGCTGGGCTCGGCGTGGGTTTTTCCATTATAATGACAATTCTAGAAATTGCCTTCATCGGAGTCACAGATCCCTCCTTCCTATTTGCCTTGATTGACTTTTATATTTGCCTTGATTGACTTCCATTGGTTTCCATTTTACCATAGCCTGCGGGATGTGTGAGGCGTGCGTTGAAGCCTAGGCAGGGGAGATCCAAATAACATTGGCCATCGAATCAAGTTGAAGCCTGTGAGAAAGGATTATGAGCCATAGATTTTAATGATACGGTAATCCTGGGTATAATTTCATTGGTGCACAATGGTTGTAGTCTCTCAGCGGGGGACTTTTTTTGGAGAGCTAGTATAGTTTTGATTGGTCCCTTATAGTAGAGATGGGTGTGAGTATGGACACGAAAACTCACTCGGGGGTATATGGTGGGTTGGGTACTCGAAAAGATGCGGGTCGGGTGCGTATATGAAATTTCACTCGCGGGTATCCGATGGCTAACCCACTATTTGAGAATTAATATGAATATGGCATTATGCATGTTTACTGACACATTTAACATATAATTTATACCGTATGCATAGCATGTCGAACTATATAGAGATAATATTTTTTTATGAATAACTACGTAAAATGATTGTGTGAGCTATTAACTTGTTGTTTAGTTCTTGTATAAGTTGTGTTGTGCTATTTGTACGAGCATGAGAAGGACCATGCCATGAATTTATGATGTATTATGGCTTCTAAGCTACTTCATATTGTCCTAGTGAACTCTATGCAACTAAGATTGACATTTTTGTGTTGTTTAACTATATATTTATTATTTTATATAATTGTGATATTATTATTTGATCTCTCTTGATTATACCCAATGGGTACCCATCATGCACAAGTGCTGGTATGAAATTTTATCCTCGGGAATGCTCATGGGCGGGTAAAATCTAGGGTCACAGACACGGGCATGCTTGTAGGTGGGGTAAAAGTTAGGGTCATGGATATGCTTGCGATCGGGTAGGTGCGTTACCTTAGCTTATCTGACCCGCTGTCATTCTACCGATGGGTGCAACTTTGAGTTTTTTTTAAATCTTTTACCACTCTCTCGGTTGTCAGACATTCGCACCCTCCTAATTTTCTTATAGTTTGCCACCGGAGTGAAAGTTTTTTACAAGTTTGCCAAAAAAAAGGTCATTTTGGCTGCGTGGCTTGCCATGTCATGGTACCAACGTGGAGGCGCATTGTGAAAAGACCAGCGTGCCCCTGCCCTCTTGTGTCTTGGTAATCGGCGATGGAGGGAAGAAACTAGAAACCGAATCAAAAGCGTTTATTACCTGCACAACAGCGGCCGGCAGCACAAGGAGATAAGAGCACGGACGACGAATGGAAGAATCTGACGGGACAGAGAGACGGACAAATCAACAGGGCCTGTAAAGCGAGGCGATGGATGGCCAGCAGGCCAGCCAGGCCAACGAAAATCCCCGGGGGCGGCGGCGCAACGCAATGCAAAAGTCGGCAAAGATGCCGCTGCTTGGTGCCTGCCCAGGCACCGGTAGCTGGGTACCACAAGGGCCAAGGCAATGTCTTCTTAGCTTAGCTAAAGACGGGCACGGGCTGGAAGGTATGGAGGAGTACTAGTACTACAGCTGCTTCCACCAGTCCACCAGCAGTTGTACTGCACACGGGGGGCGGTGTACTTCCGGTACTAGCGTACTACACCGCGAGCGGAGGGCGCGAGGCCGGCGCGGCGCAGGTCAGGTCAGGTCAGGCATCTTGGGCAACAGCAACAACCGGGCCTGCTTTTGAGCTCTCTCCCCCATCCGTGCTTTGTGCGTGTTTGGTGGGCGTCCACCTATCGGGGTCACCGGCCGGTTTCTGCTTTCTTGCTACGCCACCGCCTCGTCTATTTATGCAGTCCCCCGATCCATGAAGCCGGCCGGGCCACGCCGAGGTCGAGAGTTCTCAACGACGTCTGCCGGTAGTCTTCCTGCTCCTCCTTCCCGGCCGCCGCGTGAGCTTGGGTTACTCTGTTCTCCGTCGAGAGCCGTGAGCCATGGCCGCTGAGGTAACCAACAATTCATCGTCGCCTTATTCCCTGCCTCCTAATATATATAGAATGGGTTCTCAATCTGTAAAATTACTACTTTTTGATGGTCGATTTTAGGGATTCAGAATTAGAGCAGAACAAGTACATAAGGAGAACACAACTGATCGCCTCGGTTAATTTTCTGAGTTTTTCAGATGTAGGATAACACATCCATTCGAGTTTCTAATACTATATTTGATTGTTGGGAACGAGAGCTAGTTGCCGTTAATTTCACTGGTCTGATTATCTTCGTTTTCTCTCAGTTCTTGATGTACATGGACATTCAACCCCTTGATTAATTTTTGTGCTGGTACCATTTATAATATGAGAGCCTAATCAATATGATGTTTCGCTGGTATAATTGTCTTTAGTTGACAATGCAGACTGTTGTCCTCAAGGTTGCTATGTCATGCGAAGGTTGCGCCGGGGCGGTCAGAAGAGTGCTCTCCAAGATGGAAGGTTTTTTTTTTCACTGTAATTTCTACACAAAATCTTACTAACAGACCGGTTGATTATGTCCCCGTACGAACGCACGGCGGGGATACGCCCCGAAAAGCTCCCTGCTGTCGCACTATATCTGTTGTAGGATAGACAATGAAAGGCTCTCTAGTTATACTGTAGCCGCAGCAGAGGTAGGTGTTAAAGTCAGCCCTACTGTCACATCCGGTCACTGTACCAGCATGGCAGCCTGATATGTCTGTGTACTAGGATTATATGGATAGAGTTGTATATATAGTTTCTCACTACAACTTAGTAAAGAGAGCGAGTTCAGTTTTATCATCTTCTCTGTAGAGCTCCGATCAACCCTGGTGCTTGTGCTGTGTGTGCACACGCTCTATTCTCTCTTCTTCTATCTCTAGCCATTGTGTGTGGTCGTCAACGATAGTCCATGGTCGGCAACGCCGGTGAGTGGTCGACTCACCCGTTGCGAAGATCCAGGGGCTAACAAATGGTATCGGAGCCGTATAAGCGCTGTCGCCGGACTAACCGCTGGCGGTAATGGACGGTTCGAAGATAGGCCACGACAGGAGGTCATTGTGCGCACGGTGTGGGAGGTCAGCAGCACCAGTTGGCCGACGCTGACTCGCACTAACTATGGCGAGTGGACGGTGACCATAAAGGTCAAGCTCAGAGCCCGACGGCGAAGAAGACGAAGAAGACGACATGTCAGCGTTAGAGGCTATCCTCGCTGTTGTGCCAGCAGAGTACAGGGAGCTGTTGGGGGCGAAGAGCTCCGCTAAGGAGACATATGAGGCCATTGCGGTGATGCGCGTCGGTTCGGACTGCGCAAAGAAGGCGATGGCCCAGCTGCTGAAGCAGGAGTACACCAACTTCAAGTTCAAGGATGGTGAATCGATAGAGGACTTCTCCCTCCGTCTGTAGACGCTCATCAGCAAGCTGAGGAGCCACGGCATCACCTTTGACGAAGAAGAGGCGGTCTATAAGTACCTCCACTCCGTACTGATGAAGTACATCTAGATCGCTCTTGCCATAGAGACGATGCTGAACTTGTCCACCCTCACCATTGAGGATGTGACATGTCGTCTACGGGCGGTGGACGAGCGCATGGAGCAGGCCACAGCAATGAAGGACAGCGGCAAGTTGCTGCTGATAGAGGAGTAGTGGGCTGCCCGGAGGAACTCCGGGGAAGCCTCCTCCAGCCGCGATGGCGATGGCAAGCGCCGCGGCAAAGCTTCTTCGGAGAAGAAGAAGGTCGACTCCCAACGTCTATCGACACTGCGGAAGACGGGCCATTGGACAAAAGAGTGCCAAAATCGTAAGTAGGAGAAAAAGGTTGAGGCTCATCTGCCGTAGGCTGATGATGATGATGAGTCCACTCTCCATATGGTAATGTTCTGTGCACTGCACGACGTTGAGGCCTAGGAGAAGGGAGAGGGGATGGCGGTGAAAGGGCCTGGCAAGGCTCTGAAGGCTGTCCACCTCGACGAACCGTGCGTCCAAGTCCACCTCGGACGTGTGGGCGACGAGGAGCAGTGGTGGTACCTAGACTCCGGCGCCAGCAATCACATGACGGGCTCAAGGAAGCCTTCTCCGAGCTCGACGACGACGTGACCGGCATGGTGAAGTTTGGTGATGGCTCAAAGGTGACAATCCGAGGGCGCGGCACCATTAACTTCAGGTGTCAGAACAGCGAGCACCGCGCGCTGACGGATGTGTATTACATCCCGCAGCTGCGTTCAAGCATCGTCAACATTGGGTAGCTGGACGAGCGCGGATGCGAGGTACTGATCGAGAGCGGGATCCTGATGATTCAGGATCAGGAGCGGTGTCTTCTCGCGAAGGTAAAACACTCATGTAATCGATTGTACCTGCTCGACTTGATGGTGGAACACCGGTGTACCTGGCAGCATGGCACATCGAGGAGCCATGGCTGTGGCATGCCCGATTCGGCTATCTCAGCTTCGATTGGAGAAGATGGTCCGAGGGCTCTCCCACATCAAGCACGGAGGCGAGCTGTGTGACAGCTGATTGGCCGGGAAGCAAAGGAGGCTACCGTTCTCAAAGACGGCCAAGTATCGTGCGGCGGACGCTCTCGAGCTCGTCCATGGCGATCTCTACGGGCTAATCACGTCAGCCACAAACGGTGGTCGGTGGTACTTTTCTCCTGCTCGTGGATGATTACAGTCGCTATATGTGGCTACAACTCCTAACGAGCAAGGATGAGGCAGCAGCGGTGATCAAGAAGCTCAAGGCTCGCGCAGAGGCGGAGAGCGGCAAGAAGTTGCGCGTGCTGCGGACTGATCGGGGCGACGAATTCACTTTGGTGGAGTTCGCTGCATACTACGCGGATCAGGGTGTGGTGTGACACCACACCACGCCGTACTCGCTACAGCAGAATGGCGTGGAGCGGTGGAACCAGACGGTGGTCGGCATGGCTCGATCCATGATGAAGGTCAAGGGCATGCCGGCAAGGTTCTGGGATGAGGCGATGACCACGGCGGTGTTCATCCTCAACTGCACGCCCACCAAGGCCCTGAAGTGTAAGACGTCGTTCGAAGCTTGGTATAGGCGCAAGCCAAACGTGTCCTTCCAGACATTCGATTGCATCGGCCACGTCAGAAAGACGAAGCCGGTCCTCACCAAGCTGGAGGACAGGAGCACACCGATGGTGCTCCTAGGCTACGCGGAAGGTACCAAGGCGTACTGGCTCTATGACCCACACGGAGGCAAGGTGGTTGTCTCGTGCGACGTCGTGTTTGACGAGAAGGCGACCCGGGACTGGGACAGTCCGGGCACGGGGGAAGCTGGCGGCTTCACCAGCACCTTCGTCATCGAGCACTTGGTCATCCATGGTGGTGGAGACGCTGGAGAGGAGGTGCCGACCACTCCAGCAACAGAGCCGAGCACTCTTAGGGCGGTGCCGAGTACTCCAGGAGTGGTGCCGAGTGGTCCTACAGTGGTGCAGACCACTTCAGGATGGGTGCCGAACACTCCCGTAGCGGAGCCGCAATGGTGCCGACCACTCCAAGACTGGTGTCGAGCACTCCTGCAGTGGTGCCAACCACTCTAGGAGTGGTGACGAGCGATCCAAGAGTAGTGTCGAGCACTGCAACCGGGGTGTCGAGCACTCCAGGTGCTGTGCCAACCACTCCGGCGGAACAAGGAACTCCATCGACGCCGATCGAGTTCGCCTTACCTCCAAGCGACATCACTGAGTTCATGGATACCTTCCACAACAGTGAGGAGGTGCGGTTCCGCAGGCTGGACGACATCGTCGGCGACACAGGGCCCTCAGGCCTGGCGGGTTGGCTGCTCAATGACCCAGAGCTACTTCTCATCGGTGTAGAGGAACCACCCATGTTCGCGTTGGCCGAACGCGATGCAAATTGTCGACGGGCGATGCTGGAGGAGATGAAGGCGATCGAGGAAAACGAGACTTGGAAGCTCGTCGATCCACCTCCAGGATGCCTTCCGATCGGCCTGAAGTGGGTGTACAAGATCAAGCGGGACGAGCACGGCGCCATTGTCAAGCACAAGGCGCGTCTCGTCGCCCAAGGCTTTGTCCAGCACAAGGACATCGACTTCGAGGAAGTCTTTGCGCCGGTAGCGCGCATGGAGTCTGTCCGACTGCTTTTGGCTTTGGCAGCAGCGAAGGACTGGCGCGTCCATCACCTGAACGTAAAATCGGCCTTCCTCAACGGTGAGCTAGCAGAGACGGTCTTCGTCAGGCAACCTCTAGGATTCACCGTCAAGGGAGCGGAGCACAGGGTGCTCCGACTGCGCAAGGCGCTCTACGGGCTGCGGCAGGCCCCGCAAGTGTGGAACGCCAAGCTTGACGCCACGCTGGGTGAGCTTGGGTTCACACGGTGCGCAACCGAGCACGCGCTCTACACGCGGCGACGGGGGAAGGAGGAGCTCGTCGTCGGCGTGTATGTGGACGATTTGATCGTCATCGGCGCGCATACGGAGGACATCGATAGCTTCAAGTGCGAGATGGCGGCTCATTTTCGAATGAGCGATCTCGGCACGCTCTCCTACTACCACGGCATCGAAGTGGGACAGGGGAAGGAGGTGCTCACGCTCGGTCAGAGCGCGTACGCCTCAAAGCTATTGAAGCAGAGCGGCATGGCTGAGTGCAAGCCGTGCGTGACTCTGATGGAGGAGCGGTTGAAGCTGACGAAGGCCAGTACCACGACAAAGGTAGATGCAACACTCTACCGGAGCATCGTCGGTGGTCTACGCTACCTAGTCCACACGAGGCTGGACATTGCGTTCGTCGTGGGCTACGTCAGCCGCTTTATGGAGGATCCCCGAGAGGATCACTGGGCTGTAGTGAAACGGCTGTTGTGCTACGTCAAGGGGATGGTGGATCATGGGATCGTCTTCCTCAAGACCGGCGGAAATAGGATGCAACTCACTGTGTTCAGCGATGCAGACATGGCGGGGAACATCGACGGACGGCGGAGCACCTCTGGCGTGCTCGTCTTCCTCGGGTCGGCTCTAATCTCATGGTTGTCGCTGAAATAGAAGGTGGTGACGCTGTCCACGTGCGAGGTAGAGTATGTGGCGACGACCATAGTGGCATGCCAAGTTGTATGGATACGCCGACTGCTAGGCGAGCTGACCGATGTGGAAGCTCACCCACCAGCATTGATAGTGGACAACCAGCCCGCCATCGTCCTCGTAAAGAATCCGGTTCTCCACGACCGAAGCAAGCACATCAACATCAAGTTTCACTTCCTCAGAGACTGTGTCGATGGAGGGCAAATCGTCATTAAGTTCGTCGAAACTGGTCGGCAACTCGCGGACGTTCTCATCAAGCCGCTCGGCCATCTTCGGTTCACGGAGTTGAAGAAGATCGGCATGGTGGAGGTTCTAGGGTTAGCAGCAGGATTAGAGGAAGAATTGTTATGTAATCTGCTGCTCCCCTGTATGAACGCACAGCAGGGACAGACGACGAAAGGCTCCCTGCTGTTGCACTGTAGCTGCTACAGGGGCAGGCGCCAAAAGGCTCCCCTGCTGCACTGTAGCCACAGCAGGGGCAGGTGCCAAAGTCAGCCCTGTTGTCATATCTAGTCACTGTAGCAGCATGGCAGCCTGACATGTCTGTGTACTAAGATTAGATAGATAGAGTTTTATATATAGTTTTTCACTGCAACTCAGTAAAGAGAACGAATTCAGTTTTACCATCTCCTCTGTAGAGCTCCAGCCAATGTTGGTGCTTGTGTTGTGTGTGTACGCTCTGTTGTCCCTCCTTTCTTCTATCTCTAGCTATAGTGTGTGGTTGTCAACGATAGTCCGTGGTCGGCAACGCCGGTGAGTGGTCGGCTCACCCGTTGCGAAGATCCAGGGGCTAACAGATTCTTGCGCCTGCACAATGGAAAGCTTACCAGAAATTTAATCATTTCATCAGAAGGGGGAAACCCTAATAATCAATCATCAAAACGTTAAAAACGCTCATGGGTTACCAGCTTATACCACCCGTGGATATATACGAGTGACCTACCTCTTACACTTGTTCTTCTGGAATCAGGAATTGAGACCTTCGACGTAGATCTCAAGGAGCAGAAGGTGACAGTCAAAGGCAATGTCAAGCCTGAGGATGTCTTCCAGACGGTTTCCAAGTCGGGGAAGAAGACCTCCTACTGGGAGGGCGAAGCCACAGCCCCGGACGCTTCGGCTCCAGCAGCAGCAGAAGCAGCTCCCAACACCGCGGCAGAAGCGCCTGCGGATGCTGCTGCTGCTGCTGTGCCAGAGATCACTCCAGCCAAAGCTGACGCTTGATCGTCACACTATTACTCACATGTGATGCTGCGATTCCTAAACCTTAATCTAGAAATAGCTGGGGGAAACGAGTCTTGATGGGGTTAGCATCATGTTGTTTCCGGTCTAGCAAGTGACTAAGAATAATGGAATAAATGATAACCCAGTGTGTATGATTTGATTTCCGTTACGATGAACACATACCTTGCAGGATTGTTGTTCAGTAGTAGATTTTACTTCTACGGTGGCTTTGGAGTTCACCCAAAACAATACTTGTTCAAGAACTTGTTCTCTGACAGAAAATAACATGAGTGCAGTACTGCAGTCCATGCTTTATCTTCTAGTGTTCCCTCTTAGGCCCCGTTCGCATCGTTGAAAAAACAAGCCGAAACATTGTTCCGGCTGATTTGTTGTGAGAGAAAAACATTGTTCCGGCTGAAAAAATAAGCTGAAAAAGACGGATTATAAAAAAAGCGAACATGGCCTTAATTAATGAAAAATGTGTTTAGGCAGGGTCGTGAAAATCTTCCCAGCTTGAAATTTTATATTGAAACTAGTGGAAATGCACGTGCGACACGCACGTGTCTAAAAAGTTTTTTCTTTATGCATTTTACAAAGACAAAAACTTACATTTACTCAACAGTAAAAATTCACTCCCTCAACTTTATGAAAAAATGTATCTTGCAATTATATTAGATTAAAATTTTGAAGCTAAAAAATTTCGAATATATCAGCACTGGAGTCATGGAATGTTAATATACATTCAGCCAGCATTATATTCAATTTCTTTTCTTGTATAAAATATTAAGATCAGTCAATCACCCTAATTAAACCTATATCAGCCTGCTATCATAAATCTTAAAAAATGAGAATAAAAGTGAATGGGCATCTAGAAGGGCTTTCACTTTTTCTAGTTTCCATGCTTATCCTCCGAAGCACCTAAAATGTTTAGAGACATTGTGTTTATATACATTTTTCATATACAAAAGCATAGTACAAATAATTAGAAAACAATATAAACTGACAGCTCCCTATTAAGAATTTTCACTTGTACATACAGAAGCGTAGTGCTGACAATAGCCTAACCTCTATGATGAGAAGGACAACTGGTTCACATACATACGGCAGACTACAATCAGTTTTTTTGGAAAAATGATGCATTCCCATATCCATATCCCTCCGATACTGATACATGTACATGTATCTGTATCCATGCTACATAGTCTATCACAGTTGGTGAAGAAAATTGCTGATGAAAGAAATCAAGTACTTCAAAGCTGGTAATACGTGGATCTCATCTACTTTCTGCTATTGTTAATATCCCATGAAATTAGTCTTTGATATAGTAAAAGAGTTCCATATTAAGAAAGAAGTACATGCAACCATTGAATTGAAAAATTAAATAAATCTACCAAGGATTTTCGATTCATTCTGTCACCTCCGTCCACGTATCTCTTTGTGCCCACTTCCCCTCTATGTTCTATTATCCAGTCTTGTTCTCTATGGAGTGTGGTCTCCGGTTGTCATCTGAACATAAACCTGCATAATTGGGAAATCTGATTAAAGAGAGATTCATGAATACATCAATTCAAAGTTTACAGGCAAAAAAGAATGAGTGAACTTAACGAAGATGAAATAAACATAATTAACTGGGAGGGTCCTTTGCTCATACATTTTCAAGTTACTGCGTTTGAGAATAATCCAACCCCAATCTTCAAAGGAGCCAACTGTGTGTTTGCTTTTCAAGGCTAAAGTAAACCACACAATAATCAACATGTACATTTCAACCCTTATTATATTTTAATGCACGAATTGCCTTGTGTAATCACAAGTGTTGATTATGAAGTATAGTACTCAAGGAGACAATGAAATAAATCATAGAGTAATTGTAATATAGTAACTTCATTTTCTACATATTCCTAGCTTGGAGTATTTATTAGAAATTAAACAAGGCTAGTTCCTAGCTGTCATGTCCATTTTGTACACTGTATCATAATGGTTGAACTCTATAAAATAGATAAAAAAAAAAGTGTTGTACTGATGATCTGTTCCTGAGGCATGCACCAACACGACGCCTCTTGCTCGTTGTCTATGGAGGGCTCTCAAGTCTTGAGCAAGTCCATCTTGGCAATCCTAGGTGCAATAGCATCATGTCTAATATGGTTCATTCTATTTTTATTTACACTTTTTTTACAAAGGTTGTTGCAGGAAATTATATAACATTTTCAAGAAACTTAAGCGTGCCCAATACAAGCATAATATATAGTGTGTGGTACTATGGTAGTGAAAGATAAATTGATGAATAAAAAAAACTTGACCTGCGGGGGATAAGGCCACCCCGGGCATTACTGTGATAGAGATGACCTTCTCACACACAGGCTGAGAAAACCCTAGAGCCCTGCCCCACATTGACACAAAGGGCACCGTTGCCCAGTGAGAACTGGGGCGGGCCTTTGATCTATGCTTTGACCATAGGTTAGACAACGTTTTCCTCGGCCTGAAATTCGCTTCCACGGGGATGTGCTGCGAACAAAGACCAACATTTCATCTCATGATTTACAAGAATTGTCAAGGATTGCTATACTCAATCACAACTTAATAGTTCTCTTTTTTTTCCTTTTATAAAAGCATGGTATATTAGCCATCGTACGTTCTAGCTCTAGTTTTTCCTTTGCTTGATGCACTGCCTCACATAAGCTTTGATCACGAGGAAATGAATTCAAGATTGATATCTATGTAAGGAAGGGAGGGTGGGTACGCGGGCGGGTATGAGCGGTGAGGAAGCGCGGCGTATGGTGGTGTCAGAGGAGTGGGTACATGCGGGCGGGTAATTAAGATAGGAGTCCAGTGAAAAAAGTTTTGCACTGGGGTCGACATTTCTCCACGGAGCACGCGTTTCATACGTGAGGATGTCAAGAAACAATCTAGGTCCACAGTTAACCAAAATCTATACGCGTTAGATGTACATCTAAGGGAGGAGATCTAAGTTGGGTGAGATGGTTTTAGGTGACAAGTATTTTTCAATTCGTTCACTCCTTTATAGTATAGAATAGAATAGATACAAACATTAGATTAATTGATAGTGCGAATAACTTGGGTTGAAGCTAGAAACTTCGTGAATTGAAAGTTACTATAATGATGCATTTACTTGTTAGCAAAAACTATCAGGTACGTTTACTTGACTTCATAATTATGATGATGTACTTCACTACGTCAAAAAGGATTTTTAGAGGCGGTCATAGACCATTTGTAGGGGCGGTTTGCCCAGCCGCCCCTACGCAAGGGTCTCTACAAATCATGTATTTGTAGGGGCGGTTCCCAGACCGCCCCTATAAATCGATTTGTAGAGGCAGCTGGTGTTACCAGCCGCCCCTATAAATCGATTTGTATGGGCGGTTGGTACTGTAGCCGCCCCTACAAATCGATTTATAGGGCGGATCGGGAACACCACCGCCCCTAAATCGATTTGTAGGGGCGGCTACAGTACCAACCGCCCCTACAAATCATTTTTCCACAAAAAAATATTAAATTTACAAATATAAATCAGAAGACAACCATGCAAATATAGATCGAATGAGAACTCATCTGTTCTACTTCTCTCTGATCTCTATAATTCAGAAGACAACCATCTCAATTGCTATTTGGTCATCTCAAGTAACAAAAGAAAAAGAAGATCAATAAATTACTGCATGTGACAACTATCATTCATCAGAAAATAACAGGCACTGCATTCAGATGAGGTGTAAATCCATCAAGTTTATACTAGATACATGACATCCTAAGAGACGACTGATTAGATGAGTTTATCTTAGCGATATACACACATGTAGTTATGCCCAGGACACCAAAAAGATCTATGAGCAATATCAAACAGGATAATTGTTAATGGCATGCCTTGACTTTCGTTTTCCTCATTTAAGGCGTGCAAGATGGAGCTCCCATAAGTTGTAGCATGCATGAATCATGATTCATGGCATCCAAGTGTCTTTCTAAAAACAAAATAGAAAAAGAAGAGGAGAAGCGTGCACCATTAGGCATTCGGCGGCAGGTCATCGTCCTGCGTCCTCATGTGAGTCTGCATATATGTAAAGAGCTACTCATTAGGACATTTCTAGTCTAACTAGAATCTGAGCATGTGAGTCTATCAAGAGGAGTCACCAAGAGAGAAGTTAGCTGCTGGTATGACTGAAACAAGGCCAGACCTTTATGATAGTGTAGAGATGAGCTTCAGCCTTCTCCTTCTTCTTGTGCTCTCTCTTCTTGTTCTTTCTTCAACCTTTATCTCGTATAAGAACGGTTCAATCAATCACTATCTTCAACGAAAATACTAAGATGATACAAAGAAAAGGTGGAAAGTATACAAGAACTACTTACACGCAAATGCTCAAAGAATATCCTTCTCATCGACATTACACATTATTTTCTCCTTGTCACTCTCACGTATATAGACAAGCATATAGGCGTTCGAATACTTTGTGAATTTGAATGGTGTGTTATTGAAACCCAGGTTTATTTGAGGCAACTGTTCCATACAAAGAAGAAATAAGAAGAAAGTTAATAGAAGTCCACAAGTAATCGCATTGTAATTGAATGAACATTTGTTATAAAGAATGTTACCTCTTCCTCACCCCCCATACCGCTGCTCTTCAAGTGCCTTTTTAGTGTCTTCTTTTGTAACCCGCTCATCATCGAATTTGTACCGAAAACCAACCAGAAAAATTCATAGAGATGGCATCTGTAAAACATTTTCAAAGATATAGTAACTGGATGACAATGTGTTGTGCATAAGCAAAGAAAGTGATTCCATATGCCATCTGGTTAAATAAGATATTACTTGTGAAATATATACAATACTCAGTTCAATATCATGCACCATTGTTACATATATATCACGCCCATCCATTCTAGGCCCATATTGGCCCATATGTTGTATATATAAGAGAGACATCAAGTCTAATTGGGAGGTTATCTTCCCACAAATTATTCCAAGGTAACAAAGAAGATGGAGCATTTTAAGAATC